CAGCACTTTAACATAATTAAATTGTACTTTACTGCATAAACAGCACCTTATATTACATAATCCTGTCTGCTAAACTGTGTTGTATCATATCCAATTCCAATGTTTGGCTGTGTTACCTCGTACGTTGATGGAAAATAGCCTTCTGGCTGATTCTGGCATATTTACGTTGCTGAAAAGCTAAGATGTCCATTAATACGCACTGTCCCTTTTAGATAAAAAACAACAACACTTCCAGGTTATGAAATGAGGTTCTTTCCACAACAGCTGGTGCTACATTATCAAATAGGGCCTTCTTTACTGATCTTTACTGATATCACCATGAATGCACAGGAGAATCACCATCGCAAAAACAACTTTTAAAGTTTACTAAAAATTAACACTAATAATATAAATTCAAGAAGTAAAACTTTCTCTTCACACCTCTTTGCAAACATCCCATCTTGTGGGTGAGAAAATGCGCACGTGTGTCACGAAGGCACGCCTTGTCTGTTTATCTCGCGGTTTTAGTTTCCAGCAAACGCGGCCCATAGCTTCACCCCTTACTGGCAACATTTACTGAAGTTGTGAAGTGAAGTTTTGTCACGTACACCCAAAGGTCTCTAGAGACTGCGTAAAGTTCAGAGCAATAGAGACTATAGAAACACAAAAATAAGAAACAAATATAGTTAAACAATACTTTAACAATATATCAACTAAATACATGTTTTCTAATATTTGTTGATAAATTGATTTGATTGTACTTTTACAATATGAGTCAAGCAGTTTGAGTTAAGCAGTTTTTATCTCTTAAAACTAAGACCAGGCAAAGCACTTTCCTTCACATTTATCTCATTTTCAACAATAGAGGAGAGAATAATAACTTTATTTGGACACTTGGTGAATCTCTGTAGATCTAGGAAGGATAAATACAGTCATGGCCAAAAGTGTTGGCACCCATGAAATATTTCCAGAAAATCAAGTATTTCTCACAGAAAAGTATTGTATTAACACGTGTTTATTCCCCTTGTGTTTATTGGACAAAACAAAACAAAGATGCAAAAAAAAGCAAACTGGACATAATTGCACACAAAACTCCAAAAATGGGCAGGACAAAATTATTGGCACCCTTTCAAAATTGTGGACAAATAAGATTGTTTCAAGCATGTGATGCTCCTTTAAACTCACCTGGGGCAAGTAACAGGTGTGGGCAATATAAAAATCACACCTGAAAGCAGATAAGCATGGACAACAGAAAGAGGAAAAGAGAACTGTCTGAGGACTTGAGAACCAAAATTGTGGAAAAATATCAACAATCTCAAGGTTACAAGTCCATCTCCAGAGATCTAGATGTTCCTTTGTCCAACCCATGACACTGTAGCTAATCTCCCTGGACGTGGACGGAAGAGAAAAATTTAGGAAAGGTTGCAACGCAGGATAGTCCGGATGGTGGATAAGCAGCCACAAACAAGTTCCAAAGAAATTCAAGCTGTCCTGCAGGCTCAGGGTGCATCAGTGTCAGCACGAACTCTCCGTCGACATTTGAATGAAATGAAACGCTATGGCAGGAGACCCAGGAGGACCCCACTGCTGACACAGAGACATAAAAAAGCAAGACTACAGTTTGCCAACATGTACTTCAGTAAGCCAAAATCCTTCTGGGAAAACGTCTTGTGGACAGATGAGACCAAGATAGAGGTTTTTGGTAAAGCACATCATTCTACGGTTTCCCGAAAACGGAATGAGGCCTACAAAGAAAAGAACACAGTACCTACAGTCAAATATGGTGGAGGTTCAAAGATGTTTTGGGGGTGTTTTGCTGCCTCTGGCACTGGGTGCCTTGACTGTGTGCAAGGCATCATGAAATCTGAGGATTACCAAAGGATTTTGGGTCGCAATGTAGTGTCAAAAAGCTGGGTTTGCGTCCAAGATCGTGGGTCTTCCAGCAGGACAATGACCCCAAACATACTTCAAAAAGCACACAGAAATGCACAATGAGTCCAGATCTAAATCCCATTGAACACCTGTGGAGAGATCTTAAAATTGCTGTTGGGAAAAGGCGTCCTTCCAATATGAGAGACCTGGAGCAGTTTGCAAAGGAAGAGTGGTCCAAAATTCCGGGTTAGAGGTGTAAGAAGCTTATTGATGGTTATAGGAAGCGATTGATTTCAGTTATTTTTTCCAAATATTAAGTTAAGGGTGCCACTAATTTTGTCCTGCCCATCTTTGGAGTTTTGTGTGCAATTATGTCCAATTTGCTTGTTTTCCTTCTTTGTTTTGTTTGTCCAATACACACAAGGGGAATAAACACGTGTATAGCAAAACATGTGTTAATGCAATACTTTTCTGTGAGAAATGTTTGATTTTCTGGAAAAATTTCAGGGGTGCCAACACTTTTGGCCATGACTGTATCATCAGACAGGAAGTATCCTTCAGATTTGGTGTTGGCATGTTGTGTGACGGCTCTGGATCTCCTCGGCCGGGCTCCGTAAGCCATGCTACGTTAAGTCTTCATCAGTGTCAGAAACGTCTTCATCACACCTGAACCAGTGATCTTTGGAGCAGTTTTAATCCCCCGCTGCAGAGCCCTCCGGTCCCGGGCCGTGCACGTCCCGTGCCAGTTAGTGATGTTTCCAGTCAGGATGCTTTCTGTTGCTCCTCTGGAAAAGCTGACAAGAACTTGGCGTGGGAATTTGGCCTTCTTAAGTTTCCTCAAGAAATACAGTTTCTGAGCTTTCTTGACCAGCGTGGGGACGTGAGACGACCACGTCAGGTTCTCTGTGATGCTGATTCCCAGGAACCCGAAACCACCTCTTCAAGGAGGTCTCGGTCCGCTTGTTTGGTCCGTGTTTGGTGCGCACCCGAGGGCGATTGCTGCATTCACACAAACGAACCGCACAAAGGGGGAAACGAACTCTAGTGCGATTCAACCCAACTAAATGAGGCAGGTCGGTCAAGTTCAACCCCAGAGAAATTCAAAACAACACTACAAACACTGCTTTATTAGTCATGTTGCTTGTGATTCTCCGCCTCAGAAACCTTTTCACATGATGAACAGAAAAGAAATAACAAATGTGAAGATTTGCACACATTTTTTTTATTCCTGACTGTGCTGAACAGGACAACACACCAAACAGCAGATTATTCTGCCCCAGCGTCCTGTCTTTGGTCTGGGACAGGACAGAGACGCTTGTTCTCCACCTCCACCTCCTCCTCCTCCTCCTCTTCCTCCTCCTCCTCTTCCTCCTCCGCCTTCATTTCTCTGGATCCATTGGTCCTAAACTGGATGAACTGACTCTGGCCCTTTTATCTTTCTATTGAATCTTCTGATCGGTGCGTTATCAGTTGTGCATGTTTGTGTTTCCACCTGCGTAGCTGTGTGCTAACTGAGCTCAACCTGTGCTGGTTGAGTGAACAGTACTGAATGTCAGTGCTTCCTCAGTAACCACATGGTGTAGGCGGTGAGACACGAAGGGATCTGTGTGTGGAGTTTAGACAAAACAGAATAAATGTGAAATTGTACTGTGGAACAAAAAGAGGCTGCAGGGTCGCGAGAGTTTACTGTGTGTAAAAAAACACCAGTGAGGAAATGCTCTTAAATACTTGGAGCAGAGATGAGTGGGACAACTTCCAAAACTACTACAAGTATACTTCTACATTTGGAAACAGTCAAGGTTGGAATAAGTATCAAGTTCGTGGCTCACAAAAGGCCAATAAGCAACACAGATGTCTGGTTGTTGCAACCGTCAGACTTCAGTTAACAGCCCGGGCTTTAATTTGCTTCAGTAACTGAACCCAACCTGCCTTTATTTAGGACAGGCCTTTAATTCTTTGTCCACAAAACTTTTACTCAGCAAAGATCCCATCAAACTGTTTATTTAAACCAGTATAAATATTACTTGTATAAAAATTAGATTATCAAATAGGCCTAACATGAATTATTCATCTGAGAGAGAGGATCTAGGCCGACCTCATGCACAGAGAGCCTCACACTAAAGAACCGGCAGCCTACGTAGTTTTTTCTTTAATGGAAAAACCTTTAGATTCTTTTCAGACTCTCTGAGGCTCCAAAGGTCGGGAGTCACCACCTTCACCAACGTCTCTCCTGTTTACCATCACGGTACATCTCAAAGAATTATACTTCGGTGCTCGTGGCTCCGTTAAATGAACTAGAGGATCTAACTGACTTTATTCTTTTTACCCGTCCCGCCCAGCAGCCTGCTCTACAGTATGAGGAGTTACCATGCTGTGCCAGACAGATTTTGCTTCTCCTTTGTCTTCTTTATTATTATTTATTTAATTATGGAGTAATTGTTAGGAATGTGGTTTTTGTGTTCATGTTTCCTGTTTAAGTTTTTGGTTCTGTGTTTCTCTGTGTAGTCTGGTTTAGTTAGTTCTTAGTCCTGTACCTTAGTTCATGTCTTAGTGTTCACTTCTGGTCTGTGTTCTTATGTGTTATTGTGCCCATGTCTAATCTGAGTCCTGTTTAGTCCTTGCTTCAGCCTGTGGTCCTTGTTGTTAATGTGTGGTGTCTCTCTGCCTGTCTGCTAGACTCTCTGTCTCTGTCTCGTTGGCGCTGGCCTCACCTGTGTTGCTCCCGCCCCGCTCGTTAGTCCCTGTGTATATGTATGCCTGCTTTTGTCTCCAGTCTTGGTCACGTCCTTGTGTTTACCTTTGTTTGGACTTTGTCTCGAGCTCCATGTAGGCCTGTTTCAGTTTAGTTTTTTGAATTAATAAATCACCATAAACTGAATCCTCTCACCTTGCCATTGTCTGCGTTTGGCTCCTCACCCCAGTCTGCACTCAGCCAACCCGTGTGAGTAATTTGCGGCGATCGCTCAGAGGAGAGGAAAGAGAGCCAGAAGAGGAGCCATGCTGGTCTGTACAAAATGGGACTCCTGTCGATCAAGCAACGCAATTCTGAGACTGTTGTGCCCTCTTCAGAGACCGGCCCCTCGACACTCGGCAGGTGGTCCGTGATCCGAGCTGTCAGCGCCAGACCCCGGCAAGATGAGAGGAGGAGGACTTTTTACATCGATGATGCTAAACTGTTATTGAGTGTTGTTAAAGGAAAGGTGATGTAACACAGCGGTAAACATGTCCCTGTCCCAGCTTTTTTGGAATGTGTTGCAGGCATCAAATTCAAAGTGAGTGAATATTTGCAAAACACAAAGTTTACTTCACTGGAATTGTGGTTGTAGTAACTGCGGTGTGTGTGTGTGTGTGTGTGTGTGTGTGTGTGTGTCAGGTGGTTGACCCAGAAGGGAGTTTGTCAGAGGAGACGAAGAACGAGACCACAGAGGAGTAAGTTTGTCTGATAAAATGAACATGTGTGCAGATTTCAAGTCTCTCTCTGGTGCCCCCCGGTGGCAGCAGCAAGAACGACACTGTGGCAGGCAGCAGTGTCCTCCCTCCGACTCTGTTTGATAGAAAGTTAAAGGAAAGTACAAAGTCTAAATTCTCTGATTCCAGATGATGTCAAAGACAATCTAGAAAGACTTTGACTTGTGAAACACTGACAGACTGAACAAGGTTTAAAAAGAGGGCGAATTGACTGACCCACATTTTTACATCAGGAGACCTGCTTCATTCAAACTCGACATGACCACCTTCAGGTTTCTTTACTTAAACTTCACTCTCCACACTTTGGTCGCTTTGGAAATCAACACATGTTGCTAAATGTGTTGTAAAAATGTCCTGAATAGTTGGAGCTCTTTGTTTCTTTTCTCCAGATGTTTCCTGAAAGCGCTGTTAGACTGAACTGTGTGATTCCTCCGTCACTGAAACCAAACTAGTGAACCCAAACAAACATCTGTGATATTATATAGTAAGATGTCAATTCTAATTAATCACTTATGATTAATTAGAATTGACTGTGTATCAGAAACGGTCGGTCACCTTTTGTTCTTTCTTCCTTCTCTCTTTGCTTCTCACTCAAGCTGTCAGTGTCAGAATTGAGGACAATAAAGCACCAGGATCTTAAATCTGTTTTTATTTGCTGTTGCTTTTAACCATCTGAAGTCTCTGCTGTAACAGATCATCCTCAGCGTTTGCTGCTCATCCTGTAAAATGCGTCTTTCAATGTTTCTAGTAGAAAATATTCTCACCAACTCTGAACAAACACATTGGGGAAATCAGAATGCAAACTGTTGCACTGGTCAAGATTCAGGCTGCACATGTGCGGCGTGATAGTGATAAATAGTTACTGTTGGTATTAAACTAATGACAAACCCACAAACTAATGTTCCTTTTTAAATGCCTTCATCAACCTAAAATCCTTATCCACACTGCCGCCTCTATCTATGGGCTGATATTTCTCACTATAATCTGAATTGCTCAACTTGACTAATTGTATAAAACTGAATTTAAATAGTATCATTTGAATTTATACTAAACTCGAATACTTCTATTCTAAAAAAAGCAACATTTCAAACAAAAGTTATTAGATTGAAACTGAATTCCAATAAACTTGAAACTAAATTTAATATTATAAAATTAAATTCAGTTGTTCCTCACTAACAATTCAACTCTGTATACTTTTACATTCAGTTCTCCGAATTCAAATTCCCTCCTTGAAATTAAATTTCAAAGTCAGAAAGACTCATCTGGTTCATTGAGGAAGAGCAATCCAGTGCAGATGAACAGAACTCCTTTTCAGCCAATCAGCACACTTGGTTTTTGACCATTTCCTGCACTCCAGAAAAAGGTGTTTGCACTGTGCTCACCATTTCACACAGAGGCCCGGTAACGTTATAAACCAGGACTCACTTTAAGACTAAAGCCCAAGGATGGATCGATACCAACTTCAGACTTTGAGCCTGTGAGTTTGGCATTTTCATGTTGCTTTACTGATTGTTATGTGTTAATCGCCCCTGTTGTCACATATAATCCTTATATTATGATTTGATTATGAAACCGTTGAACAGTAATCTGAACTGTCCATTTTGTCACAACCTGGCTCAACAGTAGGTGACAAAAGAGGGAAACCACACAGTCTGAAAATAATGCTAGATAGTTAATTAAGCAAAATATACAATTGTAGGTGTCTGTCAGATCAGTATGTACGCAGTATATGTGAGCGGAGTGTGTGGCTGTAAGAAACAAACAGAACAGAATCAGTCGTCAGACCAGGAGAAGAGAGAGACATGTCATCAAGCAATTCAAATCATTTTTATTTATATAACACCACATCACAACAGTTATCACACAGCTCTTTTTCATAAAGAGCAGGAATAGACCGTACTCTATGATATTTAAAGAAACCCAACAGTTCCCACCAAGAGCAGCACTAGGAGACAGAGGCAAAGAAAAACTTCCTTTAAGAGGCAGAAACCTGCAACAGCGGCCATAACAAGATAGTATCAGGTGTGCAAAAATTATAAAAATCAGAGCCGTCCCACTAACTACCTACCCAGAAACTTATTAACCTCAACCCTAGTCTTCATGCAGTTACTTACAGTGGGTACTTATGCACTGAAAAACACTGGAGCGAGAAAGGCAACTGCATAAACAGCAACCCCCCTCGTTTCCAGGGATGTGCCCCCGAGACAACTGCTCTAACCGCGTTCACTGCAACACTACCAAGGATTTATGAACGAATCCCAAAGGAGAAACGTTCCTTCATCCTACCAGGGAAAGCTTCAACTCCAACATGTGCACACCAAACACTAAGTTGCGTAGCCGCCATTATGGGCCAGATGCTGAAGGTCCACTGTTTATTTTGGTTTTGAAATCGCTGTAATTTTTGACAATTGTTTCAATTTCAGCTGAATCACCTTCAGTTAGATTGAATTTTTCTACAATCTCGAATACCTTTTCATCATCCAATACTGCATTATCTTTTGTATTTATCCAGAAATTATATAAATCGCCTTCTCTGTCTAGGACTTCTTTAAGTTTAGCCTTACTACTAGGGGAAGCATCTGGTGGAAGTTTTGCTGAGCCTCTAAATCCTCGTAGGTTCGGGTCAATCCAAGTACCTCCTCTTGCCATTGAATGCTTTTCAAAAAAAAACTCCAGTGATTTGCCTTGGTGTTCGCTTTCAGTCATATCCAGAGCCATAAGAGTCAGAGGAAATGTCCGGAAGTTTCTAGCAGATTCAGCTATAACTGATGCAATGAAATATGTGGTGTACCAGGCCTCCGTTTCAATGGATAGCTTAAGATTCTCTCTGTGCTGTCCAAGTAAAATACCTTTCACATATTTAGTATATATTAATTTATGTTTTTTATCATTAATGTTACTTCGAATCTGATTATATTGTTCCATGTTCACCTGGTGTTCAATACATTTCTTGACTGCTTCCCATCTGTTCTGATCTTTTTCATGGTTAAACTGTTTTCCAACTAGATGTATATACAGATTTACAGGATGAACAGCGTATATCCAGTCTTTGACCATCAGGTATGTGATTTTATCTTCTCCATCCTTTGCATAATGACGGATGATACTTCTGACATCTCTTCCTGATTTAATCACATAACACTTCGAAAGAAGATGCTTAATGTTCTGCTCATTCTCTATCCACTTTATCATACTTATTATCTTTATTATCTATTATCTTATTATCTTTATTATCTATTATCTTATTATCTTTATTATTTATTATCTTATTATCTTTTTTTTTATTCTTTCCCCTATTACAAAATTGTTTAAGTTCAAAATTTCTGTATTTATTTTTTCTGGAAGTGGCAGTTTTTCATGAAAGATAATCCAGGACAGAGCTGAAGTTTCTATACAACCAGTTTTTACATAACTGTTTAAATTTTTATAAACATCCTGGTCAATAAATATCTGTGGCTCATCAGGCCAGCTGTTTCTGTAGGTAACTTGAGTATTACTTGCCTCTCCTTTACCGCCAGGTTTTTTTTGTGTGTTCTTTTTCTTGCCCATTAGAAAGTTTCTCTCATTAGTAAAAACTACCTCTCCTCTCCTGCCAGGCTCAGTTCTGATAATTACGTCTCCGTTCCTATCGAGGGTTGCCACCACCTTCTTGCTATCATCATTATGTCTCCATCGCAGCCCTTCCTTAGAGATCTCTTGGGTGATGATCTCTCCTGTGTGTCTGACCTGCAGCACAGCACTCCTGAGGTGCAGCTCTGTCTCGATGTTGGCGGTCTCACGGAGCTCCCTCAGCAGGGTTTCAACAAACTCTTTATCTGATCCGACCTCACAGGCCACCACACTTTTATCGCCCGTCCTGAAGGTTCGTTGAATGATTTTGGCGACGTCTTGAGCCGTGTACGCTGCCAGTCTCGTCTCTCCAGAGCTGTCTCTCTCGCCGTGGCCTACCAGCGTCAGTCTGCTGTCCTCTGACAGAGGCACAGAGGCACCCTGGATCAGTTTGGGTCTCTGGTTTTTATCAAGAACGTAGACAGAGGTAACTGCTGGACGTTTCTCATAAAGAGAAGTAGCAGCTTTTCTGACAGTAGGGTCATCCTGCATAATGAGGATCTGCTGGTGGTCATACTGTGTGCTATGATCAACCGCTCTTTGTGGGATTTGGTAGCGAGAAACTGAGTCAGGTTGATTCATGACTTGGTTGTAGCTGTGGGAGATCTCCGAAGAGCTACGCAGCCTCTCTTGTATCTTCTGTTCATCAACATGAAAATATAAATAACTTAATTAGTGCAGGGCAACAATTAGAAAATGTAATTGCGATTAATCACATTATTATTGAATAAATTAAGTGAATAATGAATTTTAAAGTAGTGCAGTGCTTGTGCACTTTTAATTTCATACACTTTAAACAAATCAGGTGATTTTTACCAGCAGTATTCCCTTTAAACAGTACCAATAAAATATTTATTGTAAATCTCAACTTAAACATTTTTCTTTTATCAGGGAGCAGCACTAAACAGTCTATGTTCAGCATCAGGTTTCCCTGTAGGTGAAGTGGTCGAGCACAAGGTGTAGCAACAAGCGGGCGCGTGTCACAATCTGCCTGTCAGCCTTGCCATGTTTTGCACTTTTGAGTTTGGTCAGTTTATTATCTGTTATTTTGGTCTGTTGGGTTCGGTTGGTCTGGTCTGGTCTTGTCTGTCGTCTAGTGTTCAGTAACCCCAGTGATCCCTCTGCATGTCAGTCTCTCTGTTTTCCCCTGCTCTCTCTCGGCCTGCCTGTGTCTCATTAGTATCACCTGTGTACCTCCTCCCAGCTCGTTAACCCTGTGTGTGTGTGTGTGTGTGTGTGTGTCCAAGTTCAAGTCTTTATTTGCCAAAACGACGCAAGTCGTCTGGAATTCATTTTAGTGATTTTCATTCAGGACAGTACAAGACAATATTGGACAAAAATAACCACACATCATCATACACAATATATAGCATAAAAACAAAACAATACTAATGAGTATATATAACAGATAATCAAAAATCAGACAGAGTGCTAATACGTTTAGTGACACTGAGGAGAACGACGTAGTTGTATAGGCAGAGCAGATAAGGATTGTTGGTGTGAATTGAGGGACCTCACAGCCTGCGGTGCTATTTGAAAAACAGGTGGTTCTAGAGCTGATGCTTCTTACCCTTCTGCCTGATGGTAGAAGGCTAAAAAGAGAATTAGCATTAGGATCCACAGCCTGCTAGCGCTGCTAGCCCTCTGAAAGTCCTGCCTGATCATCCCCCTCATATGTTGGTTCCGGCATCCAGGCTGGTTGGGGACTCCAGGACATCAAGCTCTCTGGCCTCATTTTTTGATGGACTTGGCATTAGAGTCAGAGGACCAGACCAAGGACTGCTAGTCAGCCAACCAGCTAGCTGTCAGCCAGCTAGCCCCCTTCCTGCCCTGCCTTATTACCAGCCAGCTAGCGCTGCTAGCAGCCTGCCTGATCCCCGGCCTGCTAGCGCTGCTAGCAGCCTACCTAATCTCCAGCTCACTCCTGTTCCTCATGCCCCGTCGGTGGTCCGACCAGCACCAGCTCCGTTGGCGGTCCAGCCAACTCCTGTTCCTCATCCCCCGTCGGTGGTCCGACCGGCACCAGCTCCTCCTCCAACTTCTCCTCCCTGTGCTCAGTTCTCGGACCTCAGCCCAGCTGTCTCACCAGTGGACATCAGCCCAGCAGCTCCGTCCGTGGACCTCAGCCCCATTGTCCATTTGCCAGCCTTCAGTCCAGCTTGGTTACTTGAGGTTCCAGGCCTCCTACGCCGGCCTCCTCAGCTCCTGTATAGTGTGTGACCCCCTGTCACCGATCAGTCAAGTAGTGTGAACGCCACAACGACTGCAAAATTGTCATCATATGACGGCAAGTTGTGTGAATGGCATGGCCATCGGCCAACACTGAAGGTCGTATAGTCTGCACGAGCCTTTAGTATACCTTGTACTCGGGTGATGTTTGTGTTTGTAAAGCAGCTGTCTGGTTGTCAGTCTGATGTTTGCTATATGACACACAATGAATTTCCGAAAGGACCAATAAATATCTATCACCTATAAACTTGCACAGCTGATCCCGTTACTTGGGGGGGGGGGGGGGCGCTGCCAAGCAAAAGTACTTCTTAAACGACACGTTGATGAATCGTTGAAATAATCTATAGAAGCTTCAAATACTAAAATCATCATTAGCTGCAGCCCTAGTTTGACTGTATGAGTATTCAGAGCCAGTGAGCAACGGACTTTCAAAATAATAATAAAAACTTGAACTTGAAAAAAGCGTGAACGTGAAATAAAATAATAGTTGGCATTAATTAATGAATGCGTTAAACACAACAAAAACATTTTCCTCCAGCAGGAGTCCAGTACAGGTTTGTAGCCTGATATGATTTTGTTGTTGTCGTTATGGTTGTTCAAATTCAGCTTCTAGTGACACATATTTCTTACCATAGATTTAGATTCCAGTATTGAATTCAGTTCTTCTAAACTCAGTGGTGTTTACTGATTTTTCTTTTAAAATCCACCAACCTGTTTTGTGTGAGTGTCACAGGATATAAACCCCTCCTCACACTGCTGCAAAGGACACTGCAAACTCATTGGGTTTTGGTCAGTGTCCACCCTAAAAGAAGATGAACATGATATTATAGAGGCTGCGTTCACACAATAATTACACAAATTCAGTAAAACCTGATAAAGACCATGTGAAAATTTAAGGATTTAAGATTGAGAGAACTAAGAAAGAAGAATAACAACACGTAAATGAAATATTTTGATGGATTTTATAATTCATATTGACTCTAAAAGACATAATATACTGTAAGATCTTGGTCTTATTCCATTCTATGTTCGATATGTCTACTTGTGTTTTGTTTTTACTTAAACTGAATAAATATTATCGATTCATGAAGATTAGAAAACTGTGAAAAATACCTGTTCACACAAGGTGATGTCATTATGTCTTGTTTTGTTAACTAATTGTCCAAAACCAAAACATGTTCAATTTAATATAAGACAAACGAAATTATTAATAATTAGAACATTATCACTTTTGAGAGGATGGAAAACTTCAAATGTTTGGCATTTGTTCTTGGAAAATTACAATAATCAGCTACATTAATCGAATGAGACGAAGAAAAGTAGGCGACGGGTGCTCACAGTGAGACTCGTCTTTTCAGTGGTATCAACGCGGTGGTTTGGTCCGCACCACAGACTGAAAAAAACAAGTTTATAAATGTCACCCATTGCATTGTGGACTACCGTTTTGGAGCCTTGAGTTTCACATAGTTGCAGTCACCATCTTTGATTTATGGAACCACAAGTGACCATATTTGGACTAGGGGGAGGAGCTGGGGAGGGATACCATTTCTATGCCTGACAGGTTGCCGTTGACTTGTCAGTCAGCTTGTAGCCCCGCCCTAAAGCCTCCCCTGCTTCCTGGTTCCTCTAAATGGGACCATAATTTACTAAATGAACATCACGCTGTGTTGAAGAAGACTTGAAACTAGCGACTGAGACCAGAAACTCATCAGGAAAGTGTTTACTGAGGGAATAAATCAGCTGACAAGTAGAAACATTTTCTCACAGACTTCTATACAATCACACTTCTTTCTGCAGCTGCTGGAGTCGCCCCCTGCTGGTTGTTTTCAGACCCAGAGGTTCCTGCTTGTTCTGCCTGAGAGTTTGAATGCATTTTCACAGATCTGAACCAAAAAGCTTAGATGAGAACAAAGAGTAAATGCATCCTCTGCTGGATCTCTTAACTCTGGCACCATGGATGGATGTGTCCCTAAGATGAAATACAGTTCCTGTTTTCCTTTGATTAAAAACACTATAACAAACAGATGTTGAACCATGTAAAGCACAAGTACTGACAGTCACTAAATTTAACTCAATTCACAATGGTTGCAATGATATTCCAAAACAAAACAATAGAATATCATAAATGAAGGTTGACGGTTTTAAAATATTCACTCACTTTAAGCGCTTTTTGTTAATTTATTGGAACTTTTTCTAGTTGACTTAAATCATTAACTCAGATACAGTTTGACACTTTCTTCTACAGTGTTTGAAAACTAATTCAAGAAATTGGCAACTCTATAATTACTTAATTAATTAGTTAAACTAGAGCACATATGACAGAGGTTTGTTTTATCAGAGTTGTTGCACTACCAGCAGCTCATCTAAATGTGATCAGGTATTCTGGGTATGCCTGGATGTCATTGAAGATGACAAACATGGTTGGGTTGGCAGGTTTATCAAGTTTTAACACTGTCTTACAGGTCTGCAGAATTCCTAGAGCTTTTGGCGGGCGGGGTGATCAGGCCAGCTCTACCCTGGGTGAAGTCTCCGACCAGGATCCTGGCCAGATACATGCGCTTGTGCCTCATGGCGTTGGGCTTGGCGTAGCCTTGTGCCGAGTAGACCAGGTCCACTGCAAAGTAAGAGCCACTGCCGTACATTGCAGCTAGAGAAAAGGAAAAAAACAACAACATCCAGCCCGTGTTCCAACTACAGTACAATGAAAAACTGCAGACTCCAGTCAGGCCAAAAAATGTTGAACCTGGCTGCAACACAATGGTTTGGTTACCATTTTGTCCTGCATAGCTCTGGTTAAAGCCTTGTTTGTTGATGAGATGGATGAAGTTGGCTCTGGTGGCGTGGAAGAGTCGCCTCGTTATTTTGCAATGTGTATGTACACAAAGCAAAATAACTGAAATCATTGATTTTGAGGTCATCAGAATCGTGTTTGAGTGCATGTGTGTGTGATCGTGATGGATTTTGTCGTATCCTAGCGTTAGCATCGTGTTTACTGTTTTTTCTTGCATACAGTAAGAGCTCTATTTACATCCTTAATGCAAGCAGCAGGTTTTTGTAGGTAATTATATTCTGCATAAAATGAAGTGTTAACCACATGCCATGGCAGACGTGATTGTTTGCACCATTACGCGTTGGAGACGACTTCAAATTCCCTCAAGTAGCTATTTTGTGGTACGATCGCCATTATCCTCACTGCACTGCGTTAATATAAACTATGATGAACGGGTCGTGGGTCACGTCTCTCCCCTACACGATTTACTTTCATGATTAGAGAAAGTGCATTTTAAACGGGGCGGCTGATGTAGTGTAAAAGCGCTTTGAGTGGTCGACTAGAAAGGCGCTATACAAGTACGGAGCATTTAAACTTCATGTGCGCAATAAAGTCGCAACAAATATTGTGGGGTATTTGAGCAGCAAAAACAGAAAAAAACTGAAGTTATAAACTTGACATGACAGAGGAAACAGAATTCAACTTTTAGCTTCTGAAATAATTTCGACGCTCTGATGGAGGACTGATCAGGAGGACGGCTGCTGTTCACCAAAGAGTTTCTGTGTGAGAGCTTTTGGATTTGTAAAAGAACACAGAACATCATTAACTTTAGATCCTGACCGATCCTGTCGGCGTGTCAGGAGATTTTAATAATCAATGAAGTTACGCTGCTGTGCCAAATGCGTAAATGCGCACAGTGTCACAGTAATGCGCCCCTAAAGTAACAAAAACAATCGCTTTCTGCTGCCTCAATAGCAACGCGCCAACAATGTGCCTGGCCTCAGCTCATTTTAAGACCAACACTCCCATGAGCAAGATACTACTACAGGCCCTGTAGTAGTATAAAACTGGCTTCACTGCTCTCCATTCAAATCAGCGGGGTGGCTTCGCCCAGTAATAAACTATCTATGGAAACGGCACAGGATGTACTTTTGGATTATCGATACGGAGGATATCTCCATAACCCATAAAGTACATTAATAATCCTTAAGATCGGCAGACGGAAGAGTGAACTAGCTGTGTGTGTGCGCGCGCGCATGTTCACCATGAGGGGGAGAGACTCTGACCAGCGGCGACAGCGTGAGTGACAACAAAGTGTATTAACAAACAAAAAAAAATTTTTAGTGTGTATATTGACGCAGTAAATAAACAATGTTTATTTCATATTTTTCTGCTGACTTAGAGGGGAGACGCGTTCCTGGTGTGTGGGCGTCCTGAGGGCGCACACTGGACATTAGAACAGTGAGTTACTGATTTCATTCATAAAATGTTAATTCTGAGTTTCTGTGTTGGGGCAATTGTGTTCTGGATATGAATGTATGGTGTGTTTTCTGGTAAATTCAAATATTTCACCTTTTATGAACTCTCTTCTCTATTTAGAAAAGGCCACTACTACTCTAGTCTAGATTTTGTCTGTTTTATAGATTTTGTTGTCAAGGATTTAGGTCCAGAGTTCCTGTTTCGAAGTAACTGAAGTCTACCAGTGTGACTGTAAACTAGTTTATGGCAGCTGTTTACATATTGTGGTATGGTTAAATCACATAGTTGAGATCAGATGCAATAAGCAAAAGATAAGTAATAAAGTTATTCCTGTGTTTTGTATAACCACCAACTGCCATAAATCCAGTTGGGGAATAAAAGGCCATAAAAATTGTGTTTGTGTATGTATGTATGTAGAGAGAGATAGATATCATACTCACCTTTATACCACATAAACTAAAGCACAAGCAGCAAAAACTAGTAACATTTTTGTATACTTTATGTTAACTCAAAAATAATTGTATATCATATCGGATTTAAAAATGTAAATATGTTGGTACACAGACAAACAAACCTGTATGACAGAGTAATCATTGCTGTTTTCCTACCTCCACTGAACTTGACTCTGCAGCAGCCGAGCTTTCTGTACTGGGTCCAGCAACGTACTAGTTTTAAATAGATGAACACACAATTCACACAAAGGAAACCATAAGCAAGTCTGTAATAAAAGCAAATGTTCCACACTAAGAATAACTTACTGTAGCCTATGTATGCATTCATACATAGGCTACAGTACAAGTACAGTTCACTACAAATTTCCCAACTTATCTGATTTCAGTCACACGTTTCAGTAAGAGGCTAGTTATCATAACAATTAACACAAAGAAATGACTTGTGCTAATAAAATTGACGTGGGTTCTACGTCTAAAAATGACGTCACCATCTGTAGGAAATCCTGTTTTAGCCAATAGGCTGCTTTATGGTTTAAAAGCCTTAGGCAATTGTTGCCTACAGGGTTTTACAGCTACTTACTGCTTTGTTAATAAATGTGTTTATTTGCTCCCAGTCCGTTTCACACACTGTGACGCAGCCGTTAAAATAAATGAGTTTTATTTGTCTTATGTGAGGCTGAATATTATGAGCAGTGTGGTCGGGATATTATTCAACACATTCAACACACGTTAGTAGGCTACTGGAAAAACCTGTAGGCCAAGGCAACAGTAACCTGGGGTTTTTAATCACTCTCCGGAGGATTATAGACAAGAGTTTCTCCACGTCACTGCAGCAAACATAAAGCAGCCTATTAAAACAATCTGTGGGATTTCCAACAGATGGTGGTGTCATTTTCCAGAGAGCTGATTGGTCTACGCCACTAGCCTAACTTTCCATTGCAAATGCGTCATAAGTGATTATTGGCCTGTTCATAAAATAAAATAAAAATAAAAGTACCAATACCTCACTGTAGGCCTAGGCTACTGTATTGAAAATTAAGTAAAAGTATGTAAGTAGGCAGGAAAATGTAGAAATAGCCTATTAAAAACAAAAGTAGCCTACTCAAAGCAGAGAAAAAAGTCCCATATCACTGTCTACTATTATATCATTAGATTATTTTTCCTCAAGCATTAATGTAGTTGGTTGAGGTTGAACTATTTTGTATCAGACTGCAATTAATGATTATTTTAATTTTAATTAGCTGATAATTTTTTCTACATTAATCGATTGTAATAAATTCTGAAAATATGCTGTCACAGTTCCCGAAGTGACACCTTCACAATGCTTGTTTTGTCAGTCCAAACCTAAAACTGATTAAAAATACATTAACATAATCAAGTAAAAGCTGAAACCATAAAATGTTTTTACATGAAAAATGACTAATACCAATCAGTTGCCAATTAAATTTCTGTCAGTTAGCCTAACTGATGTAGTTCTGCTGGACTTGTATAAACTGTTAAGTAGCCTAATTTAATTTATAATCAAAACATCCAATTTTTTAAAGGTTTTTTTGTGAAAAGCTTTTTTTTTAAACTAGTAACTGAAGCTGTCAGATAAAGTAAAAAGTATTTAATAATTAATTAGTAGCCTAAAAGTTATTGTATGATATTATAGCCTAATGAGTTTCTACAGTTTACATGTTGTTCATGTCGCAGTGAAACTGTTTGTTTCTGTTCTTCATCAGAATGACTCGCAGAAACTTTTTTAAACTCACTGCAGGCTGCTTTCACTTTCGATTCTTCACTGAATGACGAGATCAACAGAGCTGACTCACTGAAGAATAAGGAGGCTTCAAATAGTTTAAGAACTTTACCTGGAAGAAGTTACCATAATGATGACTCATTCATTATTCAGAAATATGGTAAAATTAATATATCTAAGCTTTTTGAATACAGGACTTTTACTTTTAAAGAAGGCCTTTATTGTTTTTTCTCTCTCTCTTTCAATATATGTAATTCTAGTAGCCTGTATAGCCTCTAGGCTAATGCAAATATCTGTTGGCCTATTTAAATTAATGTTCAGTTTATTTGAGAGAGACCCCATATTAATTAGCCTGGAAACAGACAGACACTTTTCTCTTTAGACTAAAAACCGCAATTTTTGTTTAATAATTGAAAATAAGAGCCTGAGTTTGTCGTCATATTAAAATCAATGATTGATTAATTTAATGAATTTTGTTTTAGTGAATAAAATGTCAGAAAAACGACTCTAATGTCCAAATGTCCCAAAGGTTTTCAGTTTCCTGTGATATCATTTCAACATTTGAGAAGCTGGTAATAAATAATGAAATGAGGACGAATTGATTATCAAAATGCCTTCAGATTAGACTAATTACTTAATTTAACAAGGATGAAAAGTTCACGAGGTGCTCGGAATAAAATGGAAATTTAGGCATTTATAGTTTCCATGACAACCAACTAACCACACTTCTTCAATCCAATGTTTCTCTTGCAGAACATAAACAATAAGAATATTAAAGAACCAACAGCGCCACCCTGTGGAGAAACTGTTGAACTCTTCTTTTGACTTTCCAGTTTAATGGAACATGTTGATCAAATCATCACCAGGAGGATTTTATGCCTTTCTCTGTTTTTGATTTATTAATTTTCTGTCTATCAAATAATTGGCTAATTGTTTCAGCTCAACCCCTGTTATAGAACACCAGAATGATGATTAATTGCATATGCATTAAAATAAATTAATTATTATGTTTATTACATTTATTCATTTAGCTGACGCTTTTATCCAAAGCGACATACAATTGCTATTCATGTCAGAGGTCACACACCTCTGGAGCAACGAGGGGTTAAGTGTCTTGCGCACGGCCTGTGATGGTTAGGGTAAAGGGCTTCTGTCAAGAGTAACATGGCGTAAACAAGGGTCCTACAAATGCAGTTCTGGTTGTTGTCCACCTCCTCCTCTCCCTGCTCCTCCCTCCTCTTTTGAATGTCCACATGGTTCAGGCAGAGAGAAATGAAGGCGTTATGGTTTTAAAATGTTAGTTCACAAGTCCGGTTATAATGTTTGAACGATCCAGAAACACTGTAATATGTGTGGTTGTGTTGTAGGGCTTCCCCCAGCAGGTTGTGCCTTTGAGTAAGCTGACAGAGAAATAGTGAAGCAGAAACAGTAGAACAACTTTCTCCTCCATCCTCCACCCATTAGTCTGAAATAAATGTGCTGTTTACAGTTTTTTTACAACTGCTGTCACACAATTCTCTACCTAAGACACAAAAATCTAAAAGCAAAAGTTAAACACAACTACAACACAGCTGTCATCTTTTACACACAACAACTGATAATTCTGCACACTTGTTTCTAATGATGTGATCAAACCAACATGGGGTCAAGTCCCTGGCCAGCGTGGAGGCAATGTCACCCTTTGACTTTGAGCTGCACAACATTTTTGA